AGGCTGAACCAGTGCTGCAACAGAATGTGTACACAAAAACTCACACGATTGTACTTATTTATTAGTGTACTGTATTGGTAGTGTCAAAGGTAAGTTTGGGTTCAAAGAAAAGTATAACTGGTTCCCCATGATTACTTTTTTCCAAAAGGCCCTTACTGTGGCCCTGTATTTTACAATAGAGATTAGTACATTTATCCAAAAGCATTCCAAATGAGAGATGGTACCATTTATTTTTTTAAAAAGCAACTTTTAGAATATTTAGTTTTAATTCACTCTTCTCTAATTTGTAAAGATGATTTTTTTGAGCTCACATATCACTAGGTATTAAATGTCCAATAACTTCAATTACATTGTTTCAGATTTCCTTTTCTTATTTTGACATATGCATTTGAAAAGATTCCCATCCTGAAGTTTCCTAGTTTATTAGATTTGTTGAAAACTCAATTTTGTGAGAAGTCTGCCCTCAAGGTCACCACCATTGCTGTCTTGCTCTCATTGCCTCTTTGGGGGAGGTGAATTTGGGGGCGACTGACAGTTGCAGTGTGAACTCTTCATGGGCTCGGAGACTACTTCTCCTAGCCATCTTCTCCAGTGCAAGAAAAGGCTGTTTCTCTACTCCAAGGCGAGGTTCAAAGGTTTAGACTCACTTCACAGATCAGAGGTCAGGCATGAATTGCTGCAATTTGTGGTTCAATTCTGCCGATATGACAGAATTTCACAGCTAAGATGATCATTCTTTTCCCCTTCTGCACTCAGGCCAGCCCAAGCAGTTAACAGTGTAATTTGTATAAGTCAGCCCTGGGCACCCAAGTTTAATGAGTAACTAGCTGGTGCCTTAGTTTCGCTGGTACAAGGTGCATATTATAAAAAGGGTCAAATGTCAACACACAGAAACCCTGTGGTATGGGGAGTGATAATCTCATAGCCACAGTCTATGAATCATATTTTAAAATTCAATAGTTTTTGTTTATTTTTAAAATCATTCTTCTGTGGTGAATTTGCATATGTTCATTTTCTTGGCTACTAAAAAAGGTAGATAATTTTGTTAAATGTTAGGAAGAAAGAACTGTCTGATTAGGGCTTACTGACCAAGCAGTATAAAGTAAAACTATAAGCTTTATTTATTTCATGAGGTCTTTCATTTCTCAAAAACTTTCCAAAATGTGACAGCTTTTTAAGAATCCAAGGAAAAATTAGAATGCTAGGTATTTCAGAGCCCGACATTCTCTACTCTTGACTCCAAAAGTTAAGCTCTTATCTTAGGTTTTGATTAGAAAAATATCTGTTTAAAATTGATTTCTTGTGGCTCTTGAAAAAATTATTAGGTGGTGGATCTTGACAATGCATGAGCTTGCCATTTAGTTTTGGGTCCTTGAGGTGACCCTGAACTGTAGTGACACACATATAGGATCATTTGTGGATTGGTCAGCTGTCCATTACTATAACGCTTACCTGAGATAATCAACACATACAGAGAAAAAGTTTAGTTTACCTCACAGTTTTGGAGGTGGCACATCATGGTGGCAGGGTGCATAGTGGAACAAAGCTGCTCATCTTGTGGCTAGGAAGCAAAAAAGGAAGTGGAGAGATCAAGTTCCCCCCATCCACTTCAACAGCCCACCCCCAGTGACCCCAGACCTCTCACTAGCCCCCTTAGATAGAGACTCCTCCACCTCCATTAGCACTGTGGGCTGGGGACCAGGGCTTTAATACAGAGTCCTTTGGGAACATTTAAGATCCAAACCATGGCAATTTGTAATTTTTTTATAGCACAGATTTGAATTTTCCACTCTTCCAAACTGAGGCACAAAGCAATTGGTTTCTTCAATAGAGCATAGTAATTAAGAACACAGATTTTGTTCTTAGAACTCCTCGGTTTGAATCCCAGCTTCATCACATTCAGCTAAGGGACCTCAACAATCCAGCAGCCTTGCCATGTCACTGTGCCTCAGTTTTGTCAGCTCCATACTGAGCAGAATCACAGAATTTGCTTCACGGGGATGTAGCAACAAGGAAGTGAGATGATGCTGTACATAGGCTGCTTGGTGCAGGGCCTGTGTAGTGAAGTAAAACTACTTTGTATTTCACTCTTGATTTAGCCTAGCCTACCACATTACCATTCTACCTCGGTTTAGACTTCGTCTTTGCTCTATCCATTTCTTTAGGGACAAGTGCATACCTGGGTAAGGTGATTCGGGAACATTTCAGGATGCATTCCCTTTGAATGTCATGGGAAGTGTGCTTCAAAAATCTTTGGTTTCAAGTCTAGCATTCTTTTTAGATGCTTTTTTCCATAGCTGATATGCTGTCAATGACAAAAGCTGTAAAAGGAGATAAATCCAAATTATCTGGTTTCCTTTGAGAGTTCTTTTCATGCTGCCAAGCAGCAAGAAACATTTGAGCTTAAAAAAAATCCGTAAATGTATCATACACATGGATTAAATTCTACCTTTGATGATATATACTACAGCTACTAGAATTCATACTTTCCAAAAATGGAAATACCAACGTGATTTTATTTTTTCATTGAATTTCTTTATTCCTATGAAATGTAGAAGTAGCTTTTTTTTAGAAGTAGCTTTTGAATAAAAATATGATTTTAACTACGAACAGCAATATAGAAAGCATGTGCTTGGCATTAAATAAGTAGTAACAACACCTCACAGGAGTTAAACAATTAAACACCCATAGTGGGCTAGGATTGTGTGAGACACTAGAGTTATAGCTGTGACACAGGTCTCGGTTCTATCCTAGTAGAGTTTAACACTGGCAGAAGGTGACCAGGCCACGTTAGGGTAGTTAAAGTAAGTTTACCCTATAGGGCAGGCTTCCTGGAAGAATGAAGTTTAAGGCTGAGTACAAGCTAGCTCTGCAGGGGGCTAAGACTTCAGGCCTTATTAAGGACCTTGATGTTTTCTAAAGACAGTAGTAGAAGTGTGTAAGAGATGAGGCAGGAGTGTGTTGTGACCAAATTGTATGATTTTTGAAGGTCTTTTTCCCTGTAATCAGAGCTAGACTGGCCACAGTGGGGAGGCGGGGCAAGGATGGGACCAGTGTGGGACACAACTGCAGTTGTCCTGCAGGAGCTGCTGGCTGGCATTTTCCAAGAGCTCTCCAATGTGTCTCATTTAATTCTTACAACGAGGCTGGTGTGAGGTGTTAATAATATCAAATACTTTGATTTCAACTCAGAGTTTACATGTCTGTTACTATGATAATACATTTTAAAGGAGAAACATTTAACACTATAGAAACAGAGAAAAACTCAACATTCTGCACAAATATGTGCCCATAATGGTGCTTTATACACATCTTCTCTGAATTATCTTCACTTTAAAGAGGCTTTGGAAAGCTGAATAAACCTTTCCAGATTCACTTGGCTAGTAAATGAGTGGTGGAGGTGTTTAAATTTTACACTTGATCTTAGCCAAAAGGCCAAGAAGCAATGGAGGTGTCTAAATTTTATTCCATTTTCTCAATATTGCACACACTTTGTAATTTGCATGGTCAGTGCAAATGCATCAGGGTTTTTTTCATAGCTTTTATCAAACTGTGATGTAGATTATTAGGTATTATCCAGAATGTAACCTTTAGGAGATGATCTTGTTACAGAGTTGGTTAAGGACCGTGTGCATTGAGAAGTAAATAGTTTAACTGCTATCACTCTATAGTTTGAAGATGTTCCTCCTTTTTACTTTGAGATAATCAATGATAGGATTAGAAGTAGGTCCTGATTAAGATTATTACTTTTGTTCCCCTGATGTTACAAATCTCACTGTGGATCAATCGTTCCAATGAAAATTATTATGGCAAAATAATTTTCAGTTGTAACTGACTGTATAAGCCATTTAATCCAGGAGCTTCCAAACTGTGCTCTATAGCAGACTAAAAGTCTTTGGGTTTCTCCATGGGGCCATATTGGAGTACCTCCTCACATTACCCCTGCCTCCATTCCAACCTGCTCCTGTTGTATTGGTTTTATATATCTAGGTAGAATTTCCATGGAAGAACAAGTACCATAAATAAAAATCAAAATAAAGTAACACAAAAAATCATTTTAAATAGTACTAACAATCCAACTTCTTTATTTTTAGCAGATTGTGTCTCAGACAAGTAAAATGATTTGCCTAAGATCACAGAGCAGAACATGGTGAAGGTGGAGTTGAAACTAGTCTTGTCACTCTCAGTCTGGTATTGCAATCATGGGGCCATATTGAATCCTAGAAATTGAGACACATAGGTTGTTTGGAACTTTGGATGACTTCATGGGGACTCTCAGTAGTTAAGAGTCAGGTGCATTATAGTTCCATATATGAAATAAAGGTCAAAGTTTTGTGCTTAGGATATGTTGTAATGCTTCATCTGAAATACCTTTGTCCTGAACTTTAAATCTCTTCATTTGACTATTTTTCTGTATGAAGCCCATTAAGATTATCCCAGAATCTCAAGTAATAGTTTTCATCAGCTACTGCCTGCAAAAAGCACCCCCAGAAGAGTCTTAATGCATTTTAGGGCAGACTAATAAAGCCACTTTCATACCAACCTGATCATCTGGAGGTTGATAGCTAGACTTTTTGTTGCAGTGGCTTCAGTGATCCTGTTTGAACGTCCAGGACAAATGTGGTGATCTATTAGTGATGTATAGGGTGGGAACACCCAGGGGCTAGATATTTTTTCCTCTATAAAGGATATTAGCTCTTATCTTTTTGAGTCTATAAACATAAAATATAGGCAACATCTGTATTTCTTCCTAAACAGTGTGTGTATTTTGAAGTTATATGTGCTCTAAAGGAAAACGATGCATCAGTTGGTCATTTTCTTACTAGTATTCTCCATTTCTTAAAAGAAAAGGGCAAAAGGTTGCATTTCCTACTTTGTAGAGAACATGATTATTGGCATAATGGTGGTTCATTTTCTGGAGAAAATGGTTCCCCAATTTTTCATGCATAAATGAAACATTGAAATAGATAACATTTCTTTCTTTTTAAAAAAAACTTTAGGATTTGTTGCAAACGGGACTTCAAAAACTGAACAGAGAAATCCCAAGTGCACTGTCTGAATTTGCCTGTATACTCTTGTTCCACGTCCGAGAAAGAGCCAGACCAACCAAACTGGTGATTTTGGGTGAGTACACCTCCTGGAGTCCTTCTCTTTTCTACTTAAGTAAGAACATAAATTTCCATTCCCATCAACCAGAATGTCTCTTTCAGTCAATATATACCTGGTGTGTGTTTACGTGGCAACATGTGTAGTATATTATACATGTGATGACCCGCTTTCAACCCCCAGTCTACACCCTTATGTTTTCATACACTTTGTGTCTTTGTGGCTGAGAGGAAAGCAGCTGCTGCTGTGGGCGGGTGAGCATCCATAATGAGACAACGAAGAATAATCTGTGTTTCCTGTAGTCTGTTCTTTATCCCTTGAAAGGTCAGCAGTATTTTAATATGTGGTGTGAAAGGAAGGGTTCTTGGTGCAAACTGGTAGCTTAGGATTTTAGCAATCCTCAGACTCGCTCTAAACTGATTTCCTCGCCTGCCATGGAAGGTGGCAGCAGCTGTCATGTCAGACTGTCCAATTCATGGCAACCCAGTGGGTCAGAACAGATGGAAAAACACTTGGACAGCCACATACTTCCCCGTAAGCAGGAGACACTGTTATTCTGTGGGTGATATTCCTGTGGGTCCCACAACAAGGGGAGGACAGGAGAGACCCTAGTTCTGTCACCCTCACACTCTGGATCGTGAGACACCAGCTCTGCCCAGCCACAGCCTTGGCCTGGGCCAGCTCGAAAAGGTGAAGCCCACAGAGCTGTGTGTATTGGGGAGGAGCTGTGTGACACTGTCCAGCCCCATCATTGCTTCAAACAAGTAAATCCTCCTTTCTACATCCTCTAGGCTGGGCTTTAGAGATGGTCTATTGAGTTCAGGGACTTGGAAAGTTAGCTTTTTTTTTCTGTAAATTTTCTTTATCTTGTAAAAAAAAAAAGGAAAAATTGAAGAAAACCTGGAAAGTATAGAAAAATATAAAATCTATGCATAACCTCATAATCCAAACATAACTACAAATAATATTATAGTATATTTATTCCTATTTTGTTTGTTGGATGGTTTGTTTAATTTTCCCAGTTATCTTTAAATATTAGTAAATTAACATGGTAGAGATCATTAAATAGATATTCTAAGCCTATGGCTATGCCATAATTTGTAAGCAATTTCCATACTGTTGAATATGTATTACATTATATATAAATATGCACCATTATGTTCATTGCATTATATCATAAATACCACTGTAGTGTACATACTTGGGTATAAATCTTCACCTCTCTGATTATAAATTTCTGTAAATGAAATCATCAGGCTAATAAGAATGAACTATTTAGTGAACACTGTAAAGCTTTAATGTTCCAGAAGCATAACCAAGTTTCACAGTATTCACTCCCATCTCTCTACCCATCATATACAACAATGTTCATTTCCCTGTGCACATGTGAAAACCAAGTATCACCAATTTAAGAAGATTTAAGATCATAAATATTTCTATAAAAAGTTCAAAAATAAGAGTCTACTCCTTTCCTTTACCAAAACCCTTAACCAAAATCAGGTGCTGAAGTAGAAGGTGTAGCTGCACTGCAAATCCTCCTCAGTCTCTCAGACCTGTCCCCAGGGAGAAGCAGATGTGGGCCACATTCATTTTCTTGGGAGTTGTTATTACCATGCCTGTTCATTTCTATCCTCTTCTTATCAAGAGAACAAAAGAAGATCTTTTCAACCTGGTATAGTGGCCCATGCCTGTGATCCTAGCACTTGGGAGGCTGAAGCAGGAAGATCATGAGTTCAAGGCCAGCTCTAGACTACAAAATGAGACCTTGTCTCAAAAACAAAAAAAATCTGTTGGGCATGGTGGCACACACCTGTACCTGTAATCCCAGCACTCAGGAGGCTGAGGCAGGAGGATCGCTATGAGTTCAAGGCCAGCCTGGACTATACAATGAGACCTTGTCTAAAGAAAAAAAAAAAATATTTTTTTCTTTGTCTATGAGAAGCTTCAAATCTAGTAGGCAAGTCCCAACAAACTAACTCAACACAGCCTTGAACAGGTCAGTTAAATTCTTTAGCTCTGTTTCTTTAAAGTGAAAGGCCCAACTAGAATCCTGTCTGTATGTACTTTTCAGTAATATATATATATTTTACACATATAACAGTAAAGATCATGTAGATTTCTACATTTGACTGAACTGTATCGTATACCCTGAAAGCACTTCAGTTTAAGAGAACCCACCCCACCAATGCACACACACACACATGTGCACTCACAATCATGCATACACATGTACACAATGATAGTCCACACCTGGGCTGGTCACAGGTGTGCTCTCAAACTTTGAGACACCACAAACATGCTTATGGATTAAGTATATAAATTCGAGACTGTTTAGGTATCCTTTACCATTATCATCTACTCCTACTGGGAATGTCAGCATTTTGTAACTGAGCTTCTGAACATGGCATCTGGGCCAGACTTTGGCAAGAGCATCCCAACTTTGACCAAATGGTCCTCCTTGAAGAAAGACTGTCCCCTGCCTAGTACATAGAGTGGATATTTCATACATGTTTGGTGGATCTCTCTCCATGTAGAGGTTGTGCCACTTCATAGTACTGATCTTTTTTTTTTTTACTTTTGTTATATATCTTGGAACAAGTTAAAACATAAAACCATGAAGAAATTCTAATAGCACCTAAGACTTGCCCTCATCTTAATCTTGAAACAGTGAAGACACTTTTTTCTCTTTCACACTGCATTTAAAAAACTCTCACTTGCTAACATATTGATCACTTCTCTTTCTTTTCCATTTGAATTGCAAACCTAAAGATAAAAAGCTACAAGGCTAGAAGATCATTTTTCCAACATGTTCCCATTTTCCATTGAAAATTTTGTACTCCCTCCCTTTTTTTTGGTACTAGGGATCAAACTCGGGTCTTTCCGCTTGCAAAGTGGGCGGCGGAACCACTGAGCTAAATCTCCGGCCCTCCCTCTTAGTTCCTGTATTAGCCCTGCTGATTTTTCCTGATACGTGTGGGGAAGGTAAAGTATACAGAGTATAGAATTTGTCTTTTAACCACTTTCAGCATATAATTCATTGAAGTTAAGCTGTTCTGTTGTGCAATCATCACCACCATCCATGTCCAGAGTGCTTTCATCTTCCAATGAAACTCTTTATTCATTTATCAATAACTACTTGTTTCTGACGTCTTTCCTCCAGCCTCTGGCCACCACCATTTTGATTCTGTCTTTGAATTTGACCGCGCTGGGTACCTCACATAAATGGGATCATACTTTTATCCTTTTGTAATTATCTTATTTCACTTAGCACAACTGCCTCTAGGATTCATTGCTTGTTCATTTCTTTCCAAGGCTGAATAACATTCTGTTGTGTATAGACAGTACATTTGGCAAGTCCATTCATTCATCAGAGGACATTTGGGTTGTTTTCATTTTTTGCCTACTGTGAATATTTACTGCTATGAACATTGGTATACAAATATCTGTTTGATTTATGTTGATATGAACCCAGTAGTTGGAGTTGATGAAGTATGTGTTATTTTTGTGTGGCTTTTTCGTTTTGGTTTTATCGGGGGGGGGGGGGGTGTTTGTTTTAGCACCAATGTATTGTTTCCCACAATGGCTGTACCATTTTACACTCCCACCAATGGGGCACAAGGGGTTTAGTTCCTCCATATACCCCCCAGTATTTATAGGTTTTTTTGTTTGATTGGTTGGATTGGTGTTTTTGGTTTGTTTCATTTTGTTTTTGATAACTATCACGGAAATGAGCGTGAAGTGGTCTATCATTGTGACTTTGGTGTGCATATCTTTAATGTTTAGTGATGTTGAACATCTTTTCATGCACTTGTTGGCCACCTGTATGTCTTCTTTGGAGAAATGTCTATTCAAGTTCTTAGCCCAGTTTTTAATTTGGTTATTTTTTGTTTGGTTTGTTTTGACCATTGAATTGTAGGAGTTCTTTATATGTCCTGAATACAAATCCTTCCTTAGACAATGATTTGCAAGTATTTTCTCCCTGTCCTTTGATGCACAAAAGATTTAAATTTTAAGAAAGTCTAATTTAATTTTTTCTTTTGTTATCTGTGCTTTTGATATCATCAAAGAAATTGCCTATAGTTCCAGTTGTCAGGAGGCTGAGGCAAGAGGACTGAAAATTCTAGCCCAACCTGAGCAACTTAGTGACTTAACAATACCTTGCCTCATAAAAACAAAAATAAAAAATGTTAACTGGAGATGTAGCTCAATACAAAGGCCCAGGGTTCAATCCCCAGTATGAGACAGAGAGAGAGAGAGAGAGAGAGAGAGAGAGAAATTAATCACTGCCAAATCCAGTGTCATGAAACTTTTCCTCTATTTTTTTCTAAGAAATTTTTAGTTTTAACTCTTGTGTTTAGATCTTTGATCCATTTTGAGTTAATTTTTGCAAATAGGGTAAGATTAGGGGCAGGATTCTTTTTAAAGATGCACTTTTCAACCTCACCAAGTCTCAGTGAAGGCATATGTCAAGCAGTTAAGCAAATAACATAAGTACTTATGCTCAGCATTCATAAGAACTGTTTTTCTTCTTGGCATAGGCGTGGGTGATTTCCCAGCAGACAGGTGAGAGAAAGCTAAAGCATTTGGGGAACTGATGTCTAAGGTCGCAATGAGGCTGTGGTTGGGACTATCTAATGTCTTGATGTAAATGTGCTTATGAAGTCCCTAACAGAAGATCCTAGACGTAGACAGTGGGAGAAAATAGCATACGCCTTTGTGTGTGTACGTGTGCATACTTATTAATGTAGGGGTGTACACTGGGAAGTGGGAGAGAGGGCACCCTGTATGTGGTTGTGAATTGAGGGCTACACTAGATAAAAAACACCTTTTGTACAAAAATAAATTGCTCCTCATACGGTTTCAGAGAAACAAAATGAGCCTAGCCACAATTATGTGGGCAAAACCGTGTTTCCAAAACACTCACCCTAGTTCACACCTAGTTCATGGTGCACTTCCAGTATGAAAGGTGCAGGTTTGTGTAGCCTTCCCTTGTGGAATCCTGAGAGGAAAGAAGAAAC